TTCTAAGGACTTATATAAGGAAATCATAGTAAAGAACCCTAAAAAGGTAGGTGATTCCGGCTTAAGGTACAGGTATGATTGCACCTGTAATTACGCAGCCAAGAACCCTAAAGCCTAGACTCCACGGGCTCCTCCTAGTATAGGAGTTCTAAGTGTGGGTTTAGGGTTTAGGGTTTAGGGGTTTAGGGTTAAGGAGCCCATAACAAAAAACAACAACTCTAGACCCATCACAAGCAGCCAAGGAGCTGTATTCCTGCTTATGGTCGGGGCTCTGAACTTTGAGCGCTATTGCCGCCTGCCTTTCCTAGATCGAAGGGGAAAAGGAGGGACCCTTAGTGGGGACCCCTACCCTATCATGGGCTATATAATGGGTAGATAATGGCTATATTAAGGGTATACACCTAGGGGTCCTTATCCTAAACCCTAAACCCTAAACCCTAATCCTAAACCCTAAGCCCTTAAGGGTATACACCTAGGGGTCCTTCTTAAGGGTCCCTCGGCTTAAGGCTTGGAAGGTTTAATGTGGTTAAGCTAAATCAACCTTCAACCTGGAGTTCTTTAGGGTTTAAGGTTTTAGGGGTTTAGGGTTTAGGGTTTAGGGTTTAGGGTTTAGGGGTTTAGGGTTTAGGGTTTAGGGTTTTAGGGGGAGGTTTAAGGTTTAGGGGTCTAGGGGTTTGGAGGTTCAGGGGTTTAGGGGTTCAGGGGTTGGGGCTCAGGGAGGCCACAGGCTTTCTGGGCACGGGCCATTATGGGGCGTTTTTGAAGGGTCATATGTCCCGCACCTTCAAACTCCAAAGGGCACCCTTTTCATTCCTAGGTTACGCTTGGGTCTAGGAGACCACCCGTGCCAGAAGGCCCCACAAATCCAAACCTGAGGTTGTGTAGGATTTACGACGCCATGCAAGTCCGTCGAAACTATAGGTACTTGGAGGATCATGGGACTTAGTAAGTATAGTATAGGGTTATAAGTACCTGAATTGGGGTTACAAGTAATGATGACCCCACTTCCCAAGTCCCATGATCCTTTAAGTAGAGCAAGACTTGCAGGGGCGAATCCATCAGTGTTCCGAACCGTTGTGAACCCCAAGCGTCTGCATTACCAAAACCACTGGGTCCTGAACAATTGAAACCAAGACGCCTCTCTTTCAGCTTGGCACTCCTTCTGAACTCAGCCCTCTTCCAAATTATCAGCATTGTCCCTAATGCTCTGGAGCTTCACGTTTCCAGTGGGTCGGTCCCGAAGAGCATGCCGCTGTATGATGGTGTTGGACAACTGTGAGCCAGGGAATGAGCGTTGAAGGCCGCTTTCAACTGCTTGAACTCAGTAGCTGAGTAAGCATCTTTACCCCAAGGCTCCATGGACCCATATAGTATCTATTTAGGCCATCAAGTATCCATATACGGACCCCTTTTAAGGCTTACATATCTACTATACAGGTACATGGAGCCTTTGGGCAGGTATCTTTAAACGCTTTAACCTTTTGGGGTTGATATAATTCTACCATGTTTGGGCTAGGGTACTCAGCCCCGGGCCCCAAGTTAAACTGAGATTGGGGACCCAAAAGGCACATAAGCACAGGAATTTTATGGGGACATCCCTATTTAGGAGGTTTATATGGGATATCCCTATCCCTAGGATGCCCAGCAGTACCCTTATTCCCTTTTTGTAGTCCTAGGTTCCTTATAAAGTTACCCAATACCAAAAAGAGAGGCCTTTTTATTCTTAGGTTACTGGGTATCCTAGATCCTCATTTTTGCTTATGTGCTTATTTGGCGCCCTATGAGAACCTGATGCCTCGCAGCTCTCCGGCTTGGGGTTGTCTAGACTCCTAAGCCACTACTTATTGGCTGTAAACTCAACTTGTCAACTTTTGGTGTTGCGGGTTCAGGGGTTTAGGGTTTAGGGTTTGGGGGCTCTTATAAGGTAGTCGATTCTGAAAGTTTCAACTTGTATGTCCTTGGGGTTTCGAGCCAGTGAGACTAGCACCAGCCACACGGGAAGCATCACGGGACTTGGTAAGTAGGGTGTCATTGGCGTTGACAGGACTCTGGCGGCAGCTTATTCGAAAGGTCTGCTTGTAACCTGAGTGATATAGGGGCCTAAACAATGATCTATACTACTTCGTGGTTGCTTATTATAAATGTAGTCTCATTGGCCCCAAAACCCTATTCTAATTATTAAGAAGGCCCTCATATTACCTACTTGTTAATCGCCCTGATCCTTCGAGCAAGCTCTGAAGTTACGCCCAAAGCCCAAAAGCAGCCAGAACCCTGAATTTTCCGCCTAAAACCCTCATAATGGGGCTTTAGTAATAAGAATAGGGTTTTGGGGCAAATTTTTCTATCATGATAATACGGAACCACCGAAATTTATACGTACCTATTAAGGCCCCGATTAAATCCCTAATATATGTGTATGTATATATATATATATATTTATTTATATACAGCCTACACCCTAAACCCTACACCCGAAATCCGAAGCCCTCAGCCCGAACCCCCCACCCCCCCCAAACCCTAAATCCTAAACCCTAGGCACCAGATCCCCATCAAAGGGTCCTATGTATCGATTTCGTAGGATGTAGGGTTACCATATTAGGGTTTAGGGTTTAGGGTTAGGGAATTACTACTATGACGTAGGGAAGTATTCCCCATAACAGTACATAGGATCCTTTCCCCTAGGGTCCAAGTACCCAATAATCACACACTCTCCAAAATCCTAACCTACGTCACTACTATCCTAAAACCGAATACATATTTATTTCGGTGCCTTGTAAAGGGTACCCTACACTAAGGTCTCCTTTGTCCTTCCCTCAAGAAGGACCTATAGTATGTATATATCCATAAGTTTATGTGTGTGCATGTATATATATATATACCATATTATATTATGATATGTGTATATGTATATAATATGTGTATATATGTATATACATAGGTAAATATAATTATACATATATATATATGTATATACGCACACACATGCGTGCACGCACACACACACACACACACATGCGCAAACACACACACACACACACACATGCACATGCATGCACCAACAATCGTGGGCACATGCACATGCCATCGTCCTCGTTTTCTGCACTGTGTCTTTGTGTGTGTGCTTGTGCACATGTTCCTCATCTTCGAAGCCCTCCACATCCTCGGCCACAGCTGGCCTGGGCGCCCAGAGGGCTTGCACTCTGAGGGTCTTGGGTTTTTAGTGTCTCCGGTTTAGGAATAGGCTAAGTTTACAGGGCTGCCGACCGAGACAGGTCGTAGGGTTGTCGACCGATACAGGTCGTAGGGGTATAGGCTAGTTTAAATCGACCGATACAGGTCGTAGGTCGTAGGTGATAGGCTCAGGGTATGGGGGTTTCGACCGATGCAGGTCGTAGTGTAGCATCGACCGATACAGGTCGTAGTTGTAGTGCCCTCGTCCTCGTAGGTGATAGGCTCGGGGGGTTGTTTTGACCGATGCAGGTCGTAGTGTAGCATCGACCGATACAGGTCGTAGTTGTAATTTAATCATTAGTTGATTTAATCTAATTTAGCATAGGGTTTGTAATATTTTCGGGGTGCCCTCGTCCTCGACTCGAGTTGTTCAAGTAACTCAAGTCATGTTTGGACTTGTCCTCGTCCCCGCTTAGTCCCCCACTCCTGTTTTCAGTGTTGGCTACTGGGAGCTTCCCATTCTCAGGGTTCATAACATAGAGACCCAAACACTCCCCCTCATTGGCCATCGTCAGACCATAAACAAGCCTGAACTCGACATTCTAACTCCAAACCTTCCCTTCAGTGCTATCATCCTCGTCCTCACCCATCCCTCAGCATACACCTTAAACCTCCCTTACAAAGCCACGGGACCTTGCACATCGTCCTCCTCTTCATGCATCTCTCAGCTTGAGCTGAGCAGGCTGGTCGGGATTCAGGGTGTTAAGGGGTTACTTGACTTTTGATTTAGGTGTGGATGGCCAGAAAATAGTGTAGTCGATAAATACCATCAATATAGCGGTTACTTGCTGCTACAATGTCGGCCACAGGTCCGTCTAAATTTCGATTGTTACAGCGTCACCCTTTCTGTAATTTGCTGTAAGAATCAGGGTGTGGAGCCTTATAGTTTCAACCCGGATCACAATAGAAGTATTTCGCATCATAATTTGCACTGACGCCCTCGCACTCACACCAACAAGCCTCAACCATTAAAACCTAAACAACCCAAGCCCTACCCTTAATTAAGCCGAAAACCCATGCAAAAGCTGAGCGTTCAGGTCGCTGTGGCTGGCCCCTCGTCCTCGAAGATGCTGCCGAGGTCTGGCCATCATGCTTTTGCTCAGTGAGTGTGCTTGCGAGTGCATGTGCAGTTGAGTGTTGTTGTGGCTGAGCTTGAGCAGCATGGCATGAGCTTTTCTCCGGAGCTCGCTGGTTCAAGGATGAGATGTCCCGCCGTTATTGGCATGACATGTCAGATCACAATCTTGATTCTAAGAGCCCTTACCTAAGATTTTCACGGCACGATTTTGACATGGTGGTCTAATCGCCCCTGTCCTCGGCCTCACCCTCTGGTGGTCTAATCGCCCCATCCTCGACCTCGCCCTCACTAACCCGCGTCCTCGCCTCGTCGTCCTCGCCATGGATCGACAGCAGATCGACGCCCTCAAGGCCGAGATGAGGAGGGCCCTCATTTGGTCCGTTCTGGTGGCCTGGGGTGTGGACAGGTGGTACTCCTACGGCCGCAGCCAGCTTGCATTAAATTTTGTGAGTGTGCTTTCACTCCTGTTTGTTCAGACTCCTGCTGCTTGCTCAGGCTCGTCCTCGGATGGCTTTTTCGGCCGACACGGCATGGTTGGATACCTCAAGGGGAAGTATCCAAATGCCGTGTTCGAGTCCGTGGACGTCCGCGCCCGCGGCCTCTACCCCAGAGAGGGGTACCGTCTCTCGGCAGCAGGTTACATGTATCATGAGTATCCGATTTGATTGCCCTTGAAACTTTGGGATTTCAGGTGACTCCGACGGGGTCGAGGAGATCATCATGACGGACTCGGGCTGGAGGACCATTGACATTGGGGACATGCCCTTTTTAGCTGGAGGTCCTTCCTGTACCAGTTCCTCCATTCTAGTTTCCGTGCGATTGTAGACAGGACCCTCAAGTACGTCCTCGCCAAGCTCCTCGCCATCGTCTGGTTCACGGCAGACAGTGAGGCCCTCGAGGTCGTCTTTCAGGTCCTCTGTGACCCAGCTACAACTAAATCGGAGCAGGTCAGTCAGTGATGTCCAAGTTGGTCAATGCTCCTTTTCTCAGGCTCGGCAGGGCGACACAGGTCCGCGGCCACCGTCATCACCGTCTCCGCCCTCCTTCAGATCAGGGCGTGGTTGCCCTCGCGTGGCTTGGATGATAAGGTGTAGGTAGTGTGCCAGTGAATCAGTGACAAGGGGTGTTTTGGCAGTGATCCTGAAGCTACGGCCTCGACCACGACATCTTCGTCGCCGAGGTCGAGGACGAGTGCGTGGGGTGGGCAGAGCAGGCCTTGGTCGAAGTCGTCCTCGCCATGCGGCCTAATCCTACTCCAAATTTGCCGCCGCCCTCGGCCTCTGTGCCATTGCACTCGCCCTCGCAAACAGGCGATGCTCGGTTCTGCAGTACTGTGCTTCAATGTTTTTGTTTTCAACTTTTCCTTTCAAGGAATCATTATGAAATTACATTTATATGTTTGTACTGTTTACTCCTTGGTTCCTTCAAACCCTAGGACCCCGTCCTCGACGACATCAAGAACAAGCTCCATCACAAGGCACCACACTTTTTCATGGTGCTTCGTGAGATGCATGTGGATCAGAACACATGGGTGGCCCCTGGTCTGCTTTTCATTCATGGAAGACTTCATGCTTTTCGTTGCTTTTCCTGTTGTCATTTTGCCGAGTCACTGAGGTCGCCCTCGCCCTCGTCAGCCACAGCAAAGAAGGGCTTGAAAGAGCCGCCCACGTCACCTCAATTGCGGCCTCGCAGTTACAATTGTGGGATGACTGGGAGAATGCCACCCCACAGCAGGTGGAAAACGCGTGGCGCTCGCCCTCGAAGATGGTGACATGGCACTGCCGCAAGGCCATGGAGGAGCTCACCACGGGGGGTGCCAGGGTTGCAATCATCATGCACCTCTGTAGTCTGTGAAGCACTGTGTAACACAAGTCCAGCATCTCGAAAACCAAGGCAGCCGCAATCCGTCCTCGACCGCAGCGCCACCGGCCTCGTCCTCGTCTCACCCTTACAATAATAGGCCCAGGTCCTCGGCGCCACAGCGGCGGGGTCAGTCCTCGAACCAGCGGGATCCGTCCTCAACTCGCCCTGCAGCACCTGCTGGCTGGAGAGATCGCCGCAGCTAGTCGCACTCGCACTCGGTGGGCTCCATGGGAATTTAAGAGGTATGCCAGCAGTCGTCCTCAAATAATCTAAACACTGCACAAAAACCATTTCAAATGGGAAAGGGAGCCTGCCGGTTGCCAGTTTTAATTAGATTCTCTCTTCCTTTCTTCCTTGCCGCCCTCAGCAGCTTTGCAAGGATCGCTGAAGAGCAGTCAAAAGACACAGTGCATTCAGTACAAGTCTTCATGTGCTTACCATGCTTGGCTGGCCTTGATTCTGCATGTTGAACATGACAGGTTCTGGCTTCATCTGGCCCATCAGCACATGGCACCTTGCTCAGTGGCGTCCTGCGTTCGGTTTAGGGATCAGGCATTCGGATTTTGGGGGATGATTTTATGGTTCTGTCTGTAGGGATGCTTCACCCAGATGCTGCATATATATATATATATATATATATATAACACGCAACAACATGCTTGTCAAGTTCAAAAGCTAAGGCCTGCTACACAATATATGATAGATTAAATTTCATTAATAAGCTGAGTCTCTCAACTTTTCTCACTCCCTCTCTTTTTCTCTGTCTCACTCTTTCTCTTTCTCTTTATCTTTATCTTTCTCGTTCTCGTTCTCGTTATCTTTCTCTCTCTGTCTCTCTCTCTCACTCTCTCTCTTACTCTCTCTCTCTACCTCTCTCTCTCTCTCACTCTCTCTCTCTCTCTCTCTCTCTCTCTCTCTCTCTTTCTCTCTCTCTCTCTCTCTCTCTCTCTCTCTCTCTCTCTCTCTCTCTCTCTCTCTCTCTCTCTCTCTCTCTCTCTCTCTCTCTCTCTCTCTCTCTCTCTCTCTCTCTCTCTCTCTCTCTCTCTCTCTCTCTCTCTCTTGCTGTCTCTCTCTATCCTCGTGTTTTTGTCTCTGGCTCTCGCTCTCTCGCTCTCTCTATTGGAATCTCACTCCATCATAGTTACACAAGGTTTATCAGCCATATTATGCCCACATGCAGGTTCGTGAACACTCTGCTTGTCGCCGCCCTCGTCCATCCTGAAGGACAGCCGGTGCTTGCTGTCGAAGTTTAGCTTGTTTGTAGAGCTTGGAGTTCTACGGTTTACAGATTCGTTGTTCGGGCGGGTTTTATGGTTTAGGCTGTTCTTTTTTTGGTTGCTGTCGGTTTTGGGGTCCGGCTTGACATCTGGCCTAGTCCCAACAGGCATCCCTTCTTAATCCAGGGAGATCAAAGTCCTGCCTATCGGCCTTTCGACCTTCTTGTAGCTCACAAACAATATCACCCCTTGTGTGCACCTTGAAAATGAGCACAACCCTTAAAGGACTTCTCCATGGGGGTGATTCCCGGTGTGTGCTTGACTGGTCACCTCCATACCAATTGTTTGGCTCTGATGGAAAGCTATGGTAGCTAACATGTTTGGTTAGGCTTCCGAAGTTACTACCCACTTATGCTTGATTAGCTTAATTCAGGCAATTAGACCACAAATGATACCCTGAGGCCTGAGGTGTGCTGTGCAGTGGTTTAGCCTGGTAGACAGCTCCTCAACCTAACTGACACCCTTGTGTCACACAGCCCCATTCCTACCCTACATTGTGGGTCTTGGGCTTGGCAGGTCCATATACTAGGATCGAGTCAGTGGTCTAGATGATGTCGTCCCTTGCTAGACACCAACCCTCGTCCTCACTTCACACCAGCCCTCGTCCTCCCTGCCGTCATCACCATGGCCTAAGCCCTCGCCTTCGTCCTCGCAATGGAAGACCAGTGGTGGGAAAAAGGATCTGGCAAGAACCGCTGGATCCGTGGTGCCAAGGCATATGCACGGCGGCAGGCGAAGATGAAGCCAGCTGATTCTTGCATGCATTGAGATTGTGATAAGAACTCAAACCCTTAAACCCAAGTGGTAGGCTCAAATCTAGAACTTCCTTCAACCCACCGAAACCATCCGTCATGCTCTCAGTTAGTAGCTTTGGCAATCTCATCCATCCTCGAACCACTTGCCTTGTTTGGTCCATCCAGAGCTGAACACTGAAAACCCGACACCCTAACACACAAAACAATGCAAGCTAGTGTAGTTCCTCTTCTCCTGAGCAGGTTTTCATTGGAGGTTGTCATTCAGAGAATAATTTTAGGGTCTGGGGCTGAGGCTTTGGGGTTTCAGGCTTTATGAGCTTGAGGAAGGTTAGATAGGTTTGTTAGACATCAATAATTCGCAGAGGGTGGGCTTTCGGTTTGGTTCTTCTAGCAACTAATTCACGTGAACCATTCCAGCAACCCGTGAAACATCCTGAGGCCGAGCGGAAGAACAACCTCGTCAAGTTCGGCCTCGACCCGAAGTTCGGCCTCGACCCGAAGCCCTCGCCACCGCCGAAGGTGGTACCACCACGGGTGACGCCGCCACCCCCACCCAAGGACACGTCCTTGTCACCGCCGCTCTCGTCCTCGTCACGGCCGCCTGCACCCAAGGACTCGCCCTCATCAACGGAGCAATCCAAGGACTCGTCCTCGTCACCGCCCGTGGCCAAGGACATCAAAGCAGCAGCTCCATCTCCAGTGTCCTCACCGACCTTGTCAACGCCCTCGGCCAAAGCAGACATGAAAGCACCGCCCCGATCTCCAGCACCCTCGGCCACACTGCCCTCGAAGAACCCTCAGAAGCCGATTGCAGCATCTCCAGTGTTGCCTGCAATGCCTCGCAGAGAGCCATTCACTCCTGCTGTGTCCCGGCCGATTTAGATTTATTTAAACTTTGTCTTCAGTGCCAGTTCAGGCCATGATTTTGTCCTATGGATCATCCGGTGGTTCTTCTGGTTCTATGGTGGGTGTTTGGGGCCGGGGAGTTGTAGTGCAGAGCCAGCAAGGTCGAGGGTAGGGGTTTTGCATTCTAAGAGTCAATGTGTTGGTGAGCCAGTCAGTAAGTTCAATTGCCATTCAGGGGAGGATTTTCATGGAGGATCATCATTTCGAGGATTTCATTTTCGTGCTGTATTTTTGCACAGGATCCTCCTCAGGATTTCTTCGAGGATTCTCTGTACCATGTCCAATGTGTTCAGGATTTTAAGACATTGTATTGTTTGGAAGTCACCCCAGAACCAATTTGAAGCCTATCTTGAATTCGAACCCTCCTGTGAATCGTACTCATGACACATAGGTATCCTATTGAACATGAGTATTGGGATCACAATATGTCTTGAATTCAGTGGCTGATGACATAGGCATGCATCGAAATTTCTTATACTAATAATCCTAGGTCCTAGGTGATTGTTCGGCTGAGGTTTTTTTCTGTGATCACCGAGGCTGCGGCTGTGTCCTCGACCTCGTTCCTGGGCCATGCTTCTGTGGCATCGTCCTCGGCCACTCCCATGGCACCACTGCCTGCAGACCCAGTGCCGATCAGGATGTTTGCTGCGCAAGAAGGCCAGCAAAAGGCACCTGGGACACAATTAATAGTGATATTTCTGAAAAGAACAAGAAACCTTAAAACCAAAGATTTGTGAGGCTTCAGATGAATGGTTAATGTGGATGTCATGAAAATAGTGTACTTATGGGCAATGACCAGTCCAGGCTGCACCCGCCCTCCGTGGACGGCAGCTTGCAATAGAGGCACAGTATGCGAACTCGGATATCAATGTGGCAGCCATCATCTCCGACCTCGAGTCCTCGTCCTCGATGACACTGCAGACATTCATGAAAGAGATCGGCATCGATGTGTCCCTGGAACATTGAATAGATATTGATTTTGTTATTGTTTAGTTTTGCTGTAAACTGTGATGAATTTACCTTACAGCTACATAGCTTCTTGTCGGATTCCTGAAGCCCAGGTGTTACAGGTGGCTCAAGAAGAACCCCACCCAGAGGGGTCCAATCCTCGCCCTCCTCCTCAAAACAGACGCCCTCGCCTTGGCCACTAGCAATTTTTCTAAATTGGAGGAGCTGCTACTTGCGATTCGGGCGAATGACATGCAGCCCATACGCGTCCTCGCCCACAACGTTCTGTCAAGATTCGCCACCCTGGGGCTGTACAAACCCATGCCTGGCGACATGGAGTTCCCAGAAGGGCAGCCGGAGGCATGTGATTTAGCATTTTAAATTTTGTTGCACTACATCAGTCTCATTTCTTGGTTCTTTGCAGCTTTCTCCCATCAGGTCGTCCCGCCCTCGATGATGCAGACGTTACGATCCACAGGCTTGGCCTCGCCCTCGATGCCAGAGTCCTCGCCTGATGAGCCTTCTGCACCCTCGGCTCCTTCCAGATTGCTAAAGTCCTCGGCTTCTTCGGCCTTGGCTCCTTCCAGAAAGTGTGCGCACTCGTCCTCCTCAGGCGCAAAGAAGAAGAAAAAAAAGAAGGAGAAAAAGGTTGATGAGAAGAAAGAGAAGAAAAAAATAGAAAAAAAGCGGAAGGATGCTGCCACCAGGGCAGCAGATGAGCTGCTGAACACCGAAGGTGACAGTGCAGAAAAGAGACTTCTGTTCCTGTTCTGGATCGTTTGCCTGCTGCAGATCACCATTGGCTGCTTTGCTAAAACTTACAAATCCTGACAGGACATTCCTTCCACAGTCATCGGTGGCACCTGTGGGTACCTCAGTCCACTGATGCAGCTGCCATGGTGCAGGATTTCCATTCAACACATGTGCGGTAGTGTTGTCACTTGCCCTGTGCATCCTTTTTCATTTGAGTCGTGATTCCAGTGGAGATTCTTCAGGTCCTATTTGCTTGTGGCCGCCCTCGAGTGTGGAGAGCTCAACTCATCAATTGAATTGCAGTGTTCCAG